ACATATAAGAAGAGGAAGACTTCCACACTCCAGAACTTGAAGTGGAACTTTAGTCAGAAAATTAAGCCCTGGTAGATCCCTACAGGCTGGCCCTTTTTACAGGTGTAGCTGTGCATAATATTAAAAATGAGTGTCTATACTGTTTAAAATCCAGCAGTACACTATCTCACCCTGCTCTGCACATGCTTAGTTGCTCTCTATTTTTTGACACTGCTGAATTTGTAGAGGGTGATCTGCTGACAGCCTTAGTGGAAATTGGAAATAAAGGACAAGTTCATCTTTTGGACAAAAATCATAAATGCATTTTTTTTGCAGGCCACATTTGTGCACATGTGCATTTATTTTTTGTGTTCAAAGAAGCCTGGAAAGCATTGATCCAGTGATCAGTAGATCCCTGATGCCATGCAGGTCTCCTGCAGACCTGTCAGAATATCTGCTTGCCGTATGGGATGTACAAACAAGCAGATATACTGACAGGAAGCTACAATGAACTATCACGGAGCTCCACAGCACCATGGTAATTCACTGAAAACTACAAGGCCACAGCCGCTAAGGCTGTCGGGACTTGTAGGCACTTATTGACAGAACACTGTGAATGAGTGATGTGGCCATGTGGGCGGAGCCCCGTACGGCCATGCTATTTTCAAATCTGACAGATAGTACGGGGAGAAGTTTCCCCGTACTATCTGTCAGAGGGAGGGGGCGGCGGCCACGGCTGCGGTTACTGGAACATGTTACATGTTCCGTCCTAAAAATGGGTGGGACATGTACAGGGGCGGACTGACAACTCATGGGGCCCCTGGGCAATAGGGGATCATGGGGCCCCTGTGCCCTTGCCCAAACTCAAAAAAAGCCTATAAAAAAGGCACCAGGGGCATCTCATGGGGCCCCCTACTGAGCCCGGGCCCTCGGGCGGTGCCCGAGTTTCCAAATGGTCAGTCTGCCCCTTGACATGTAACATGTTCCAAAGGTGAACTTATCCTTTAAACTCTCCTATCCTTTACAGCCAAATAAGTTGTTTTTGTTTGATCTGCAACTGCCATGGTGCTGCACATGTGATCAGTTATGACACCAGCAGGGGCGGACTGACAACTCATGGGTCCCCCCCGGGCAATAGGGGAACATGGGGCCCCTGTGTCCTTGCCCAAACTCAAAAAAGCCTATGAAAAAGGTACCAGGGGCCTCTCATGGGGCCCCCTACTGACCCCGGGCCCTCGGACAGTGCCCGAGTTTCCAAATGGTCTGTCCGCCCCTGGACACCAGACATTTAAGTTTGGTTGAGGACACAATCAAACGTTACAGTTAGTATTTTCCAGGAAAATAACTTTTTTTCGATGGGTTTATTTGTTTATGATTTAATGCTGTTCAGGGGTTCTGGGCTTCAGCTGGAGGCAATTTACAGCACACACCAATTTTGGAAGCACAATTATTAACTAGAAAATCTAAAATTTCTGGGGAAATTGTGTGAAGTGTTCTTGCCTCCACCAGTAGTCTACAACTGGAGTGGGTGGAGTAGCTTTTGTCACTCTGCTGGCTGCTCACACACCTGGGTTCCTATGGCAACTCACTCTACAACAAGGACAGAGGAGCGGTTAAAAACAAACTGCTCCAACTTGCTCACTTCACTGGCGGTTGCCATCTTCAAACGGTTGTAGTTTTAAAACTATAAATCCTACAGTGAAGGGCTTTATATTGTGAGAATCAGAAGACCCAGACCTACAGTTTTATGTATAGTATGTCTCTGAAATATTAAAAATGAAGGCACAGTCGCAGTTTAGAAATTGCCCTTCAAATTTGAGGTGGCTAGAGTGGAGTTTCACTGAATGTCAAGGGGCGGCATGAGTTGCAAACAAATGGTCATATTGTGAAAACTATCAGAACTATGGCTTAGCCGTGGACATTTTTAGTGGCAGCAGGGATAGCTGAACGTTTTGATATATTATTTGTGTAGGTGGGCTTGAAAATGAGGGAGTGATGGCAGTTTAGAAATCATGTCCTGATTTTTCAGCTCACACTCTAGCTTTTGTCAGCTCCCACTCTAGTTTTGAACATTGCGCCATTCATTCCTATGGGACCAATTTCGCCACAAAAACGGCGATATTGCGTGAACTCCTATATAATGAAAAAAAACTCCTGCGCTCAATGGAACACCTATTAATAAGCAGCACACACTCACCTCAACCACAAGGAAGGAACATAAAAATACAAAAAATAGTGCAGCGCTAACAACCTATACTAAAATACAAATGAGATAAATGGAAATATCACATATAAAATGCACAATAAATATTCAGTGTTAGGTGCTCATAAAAATGAATACTATGTGCAGCAGTCCATAAATGCCAATGATGGTGAAAACTCTGTGAGGTGATCACAGTGCCACTCAGTGTGCGGTCAATCCACAGATGGCCCCTCACCTCCTTGATGCGACCCACTGGGCCAAACAGCTATGTAGGTGACCTTATACACCCAATAAGGTATCATCAAAGGATGGAACATTTGGATAGATCCCTCCAATATCTTCAGCTATGCAGCTTTGCATAGAAACCAATCAGCTTCCAGGTTTTATTCAAACCTGGAAGCTGATTGGTTTCTATGCAGAGCTGCACCAGGTTTTGCACAATCCCTGGAAAAGTCACGTGTTATTGTGAAGCAACATGTCAGACTAGAGCGTGGTGATGTAATTACGCATGGACGGCAGCCATCTTTGGACTCCCTATGCAAGCACCCTGACTGTGGGTTATACAGTTCATGCCTGGTGAGTCTATGACCCGATTTTAATGTGTGAATAGGTCTTTGGCAATGGTTGATTAACCGTGGGCAGTGTGGAAGCTGATCCTGTGTCCATCCAGAGAGTGAGATTCATCCCACCTAGGACTTACTGGTGATTTGTTATGCCTTATGACTCCTTGAGGATCAAAGAATGGAGGTATCTTAAACGGTTTTGTGGAATCGAGTACCTAGGAGATAGGAGAAGATATTGGAGGGATCTATCCAAACGTTCCATCCTTTGATGATACCTTATTGGGTGTATAAGGTCACCTACATAGCTGTTTGGCCCAGTGGGTCGCATCAAGGAGGTGAGGGGCCATCTTGGCCATCGGTGGATTGACCGCACACTGAGTGGCATTGTGATCACCTCACAGAGTTTTGCTGTGATTTTTCACCATCATTGGCATTTATGGACTGCTGCACATAGTATTCATTTTATGAGCACCTAACACTGAATACTTATTGTGCATTCTATATGTGATATTTCCATTTATCTCATTTGTATTTTAGTATAGGTTGTAAGCGCTGCACTATTTTTTGTATTGCGTGAACTATTTGGCGAAACGCTCCACAAATTAATAGCACACCAATCGGGAACAATCCGCACGTTTTGGTATATTACTGTCTATATAGTGTACAAACTGTGGGAGGAGTTAGGGTGGTAAATTTGGCTATAATAATAAGAATATATATGTGAGATAACAATAAGTGGTCTTGCCATGCAAGAACACTTAATGAGGAATGTATGTTTCTTGCTAAAGAACATTATTTTTTGTCAAGTTTTTAATGGGTAAAGTTCCGCTTTAGGCTTCTGTTCATTCTTTACAGCATATGAAGCCTTAACAGGTTACTTCCTTTTTAATGGCTGCCCCTCAAATCCACCAAAATGTTTACTGGCTATTCTGTAAAATGGCCCAATGTCACAGGAAGTATTTTAGTGTCTCATCCCAATATTTCCTAGGGTCTTTTAAAAATGTTCAGATTATCTTGTCCACAAGTGACCTTACAGTGCTCCTACACAATTTGTATACAACACCACATACATCTCATTAACACTTTAAATATTTGTGCCAATTGCGTACTGCACATTACAGCACCTTCTGCCATTTGCTCAGCTCATTAATTAAGTAAATGAAGGGCATCAAATGGCAGAACCACCAAGCTTTCTTCAATTTCAAAGCTTGCCTTGCTTGTCTAGAATGCTCCATAAAATTCCAACGAACAAATTCACACTGTGTTTTGAGTTCTTGCAGAGAAATTAGACACCATAACTCAACCGAATGTTGAAGATCTGCTGAGCTGTAAAGATGCATATGTATAGCTACTGAAGCTTTGAAAACAGGAAGCTTTTTGCTAAAATGCTTTTTAAATGTTTTACCATTGAAGGGTAATGGAAAAACTGCAGACCGTCTTCTGTAATTGAAGCATAGGAGTCTCAAGAAAGTAAAAATTCCACACCTGCTAAAGACACTCCTCAGGGGTGGAACAATTAAACAGGTTTTTACCCTTTAAAACCTCTTATGGACAGAACTTTCAACTGTGGAGTGGCAAGAATCCAAATCCTACTAAAGATTTAATTCAGAGATAGAAATATATGCCTGGAGGACTACAAGATCACTATACCTACCAATGATCGTAGTGCTGCCAGGCAGAAGTGCTAAACATTTAGGCACAGTTCAGACATAACACTAAATTTAGGCAGCCCAGGGCAGGAGCATTACATTGCTCTCTATATTCCCATATACAGTACTGCACATACTGTATGACTATCCTCAGAGGGGGAATATAGAGAGCAATGTAATGCTCCTGCCCTGGGCTGCCTAAATTTAGTGTTATGTCTGAACTGTGCCTAAATGTTTAGCACTTCTGCCTGGCAGCACTACGATCATTGGTTTGAACCTCACCCATTGCACTTCCTGCCTGGAGTTTGCATGTTTTCCCTGTATTAGCATGGGTTTCCTCCAAGTACTCTTGTTTCCTCCCATGCTCCAAAGACATGTTGGTAGGTTATTTGGCTCCTATCTAAATTGGTCCTAGTATGTGCATGAAAGTGAGTTAAGGAGCTTACAATCTAAGATCCCTGAGGGCAGGGACAGATGTGAATGTACAATATATGTAAGTTGCTCCATAAATTGATGGCTCTATATACCATATTTTTCGCAGGAAAAAAAATCCATAAGACGCACCTAGGTTTTAGAGGCAGAAAACAGGAAAAAAAACTATTCTGAACCAATGAACTGCAGACATAGTACAGGAGATGACCAGAGACTGCAGACATAGTACAGGAGATGACCAGAGACTGCGGACATAGTACAGGAGATGACCAGAGACTGCGGACACAGTACAGGAGATGACCAGAGACTGCAGACATAGTACAGGAGATGACCAGAGACTGCGGACATAGTACAGGAGATGACCCAGAGACTGCGGACACAGTACAGGAGATGACCAGAGACTGCGGACACAGTACAGGAGATGACCAGAGACTGCGGACATAGTACAGGAGATGACCAGAGACTGCGAACACAATACAGGAGATGACCAGAGACTGCAGACATAGTACAGGAGATGACCAGAGACTGCGGACATAGTACAGGAGATGACCAGAGACTGAAGACACAGTACAGGAGATGACCAGAGACTGCGGACATAGTACAGGAGATGACCAGAGACTGCGAACACAGTACAGGAGATGACCAGAGACTGCAGACATAGTACAGGTGATGGCCAGAGACTGCAGACATAGTACAGGGATGACCAGAGACTGTGGACAGTACAGGAGATGAGACTGCGACTGCTGACCTTTAGGGAGGGGGGGAGCGGGTACCTGACATTGACAGGTACCCGCTGCAGACTTACTTCCGCCGGAGTTGTTCTTTGGTTAGTGTCCCACTCTGCAGCAGGACCTTACCTGTTCCTCTATCCTTTAGCGGTGCGCTGTCTTCCCGGCCTCTGTAGTGTGGGCGCTCGGCTTGACAGCTGGGTGCCCAGTGTGCATGAGCGAGAAGCGCTGCGCTTTGTGATTGGTCCGTCGGCTTCTGGGACCCGTCATGTGTCCCAGGTGCCACCTTACCATTCACAAAGCGCACCGCTTCTTGTGCATGCGCACTTGGCACCTGGCTGTAAAGCTGAGCGCCCACACTACAGAGGCCGGCAAGACAGCGCGCAGCTGGATAGAGGAACAGGTAAGGTCCTGAGCTGAGCGCCCGGCCTGGTATTCTGACACAGCGGTGGAAATACCGGACCTGCCGCTCCATAAGACGCACTGACAGTTTCCCCCCTTTTTTTGGGGGAAAAAAAGTGCGTCTTATGGAGCGAAAAATACGGTAAGTACTTGAACTAAAAAAATAAATAAACATGGGGGTTGATCACTCCTACCTGTTGTTGGAAAAAATGGTCCATCAAATAAAGTGGGAAGGTCAACTTTTGGAGTTGGAGAATATTTATCCAACCCAGCCAAACTCTGTGAAGCTACCTCAGAAGGTATGGCTGGTGAGAAAAAATATTTGGGAGAATATGAGCAGAGTCTCTTTCTCCCATGGGACTTTGCCTGGCAGGTGGTATGTGTTTTTTCAGAGAAGCTACTACTAGGCCTCAGCAGGTGTAATGCCCTGGGGACATAAGGAAAGTTACCTGCAAAGCTGGGCTGGAGAGGTTTGACCTTTTGCCTGCAGCTTCAGGTATTGAAAAACCTTGAGGACAGCTCTGTGAAAAATCCCAGCAGTATTATGCACTTCAGAAGAAACCTCAAAATATATTTAGAGAGGATAGCCAAGTAAACCTTTGACTCTTTGATAGGAGTTACTGTCTTTCTGTAGCAATTCCTGATGTCTAACCCTCAATGGGTACTTCATGTTCTTAGGATATCCTACACCTTAAACCTCCTCCCTGCATTTTTGTCTGAAAAATTGCAACAAACCTTAAAAAGGCCTCTAGATGGCAGCTTGAGTTTGTTGTTGTGCTCAGGGGCGGACTGACTATTTGGAAACTCGGGCACTGCCCAAGGGCCTGGGGTCAGTAGGGGGCCCCATGAGATGCCCCTGGTACCTTTTTTCATAGGCTTTTTGAGTTTGGGCAAGGACACAGGGGCCCCATGATCCCCTATTGCCCGGGGGCCCCATGAGTTGTCAGTCCGCCCCTGGTTGTGCTACTTGGGCAGGCAGCCCCTGAACAGGTAAGGGGGACCCAGTTAATTCAACTGGCTCCTTAGGGGGTCATCACTACAGCAACATGATTGCCTGTGTGTGTGTGTCTGTGCACATACAGATGGTGCTTTAGACCTAAATCACAGCTGGAAAAATGCCTGTGTGGATGGGCTTTTGGCTTGTGTTGGTCACATCAGGTCTCCCACAGTACACAGAACATGAAAATGCAATTATTTTAGTAACTATAAACTGCTAAATACCTTTTCTGATCAGCAGTTAGAGCAGTCTTGTGACTTCTATCAGTGTCCGATCGAGCACTAGGTAGGAAGAATTTTCATTCTTCTGTGACTGTCCTATGAAGGTGTATGACCCCGAGCCTCTGTCCAGACAGCACTGATTGGCCATGTGCCAATCACATGCACCCCCCCCACCCCCCCCAAAAAAAAAACACTCTCTAGCAATGTACACCGAATTGAGCATTTGCAAACATGCCACTGATGCTCTGTACTATGGCAGATAGAATGGGAGCAGTAAAAGAAGGAGAGGACCAGAGAAGACAGGATCAAACAGCCTTTTTACACAATGCGGAGGATTAAGTCCTTAGGTTCCACAGGGAGTATAACAAGCATGCTTTACTGCAGGGGTGGGCAACTGTGGCCCTCCAGCTGTTGTAGAACTACAAGTCCCATGAGGCATTGCAAAACTGATAGTTACAAGCATGACTCCCAAAGGCAGAGGCATGATGAGACTTGTAGTTCACCAACAGCTGGAGGGCCACAGTTGCCCACCCCTGCTTTACTGCATATACAGACTGATTTTATTGTTGTGGGTTTAGTAACACTTCAGTTGCGTCAAGCTGGTTTTGAATGTATATAGCCTTCTATGGGAACTCAAAACCCTTTAAATCAAACTGAAGTCTATCAACATAGGCCCAAAGGACGACACCAAAAGTGGCATCTGATGATAGATTATGTGAACTAATCCATTCCTGGCTTCTCTACATTTTGTAACTGATGCAAATGACAAAGGGTAAAATATACAAGTGCAATCTGATGGCAGAGTCTGAAAAATGGCGAATAAGTAACAAGTTATATTATCACTATATAAATTTCAGTAACTCAATGTAATAGCAGTCTTTTCTCTAAAGCTCCAAGCTCATAATCACCAAAACATTACAGAAGCTCGAAAATAAAAAACACTCATTAATACGAGAAGCAATTTGTTACAAGAACAGCCTATGGGAACATACAGAACAATAGCTCAGAATGATGGCAGCTTACTGTGTACTGTAGTTATACAATTGAGGAGGGTCAAGAAGCTGTCACAGTGTACAGAGAACATGTTTAATAAACCTTGAGCACTGAACCAACCTTGCAATCCTAATAAGTGAAACTTACCCAAGGCTACCAAATATTGCTGCTGTCACCAGGCCTGAATGAGCTTCAGAATGACCCATTATCTCGCCAGGGCGTCAGGGGAGTAACCCAGAAATTGACAAAGCAAACACATACAAATGTGCAGCCTGCTAATGTGCGGTGCAACTGTATACAAAAAATTACTGCAATTTTTTAAAGGGTGCCTCTACTTTGGTGGAAAAAAAATAGAAAATAAATATATATATACAGTTGTGCTCAAAAGTTTGCATATCCTGGCAGAAGTTGTGAAATGTTGGCATTGATATTGAAAATATGACAGATCATGCCAAAAAATGCTCTTTTATTGAAGGATGATGATCAAATGAAGCCATTTATTATCAAGTAGTTGTTTGGCTCCTTTTTAAATAATAACAGAAATCACCCAAATGGCCCTGATCAAAAGTTTCCATACCCTGGAATGTTTGGCCTTGGTACAGACACACAAGGTGACACACACGGGTTAAAATGCCAATTAGAGGTTAATGTCCCACATCTGTGGCTTTTTAAATTGCAATTAGTGTCAGTGTATTATTATTACACAGTATATAGCGCCAAAAAGTTTGCTCAGCACTGTACATTATAGTGGGAGACAGTACATGAGACAATACAGTAACAGTACAATACACGGGGGGTTTGAGGGCCCTGCTCCTTGGAGCTTACAATCTAGGAAGGAGGGGATAGTGGTACAGGAGGAAATGGCTGTGTATAAAATAGTCGATAAGTTTGTTAGCTATTACGTGGAAGCACTGACTAGGCCAGATACTGAGCTATGGGGATCAGAAAAGAACTGTCAAAAGTCCTGCGTAACAAGGTAATAGAACTTTATAAATCATCATCCATCAATAAAAGAGCATTTTTTGGCATGATCAGTCATATTTTTAATATCAATGCCAACATTTCACAATTTCTGCCAGGGTATGCAAACGTTTGAGCACAACTGTATATATATATATATATATATATATATAACATATACAATTGCTACAAAAGTCATATTATCATTGAAAGTTATTAAAATGACCTTTGCTGTTCAATCTGCAATGCTGTAATTTTCTGTAAAATTCAATGCAATATGGCAACATGGAGGCCTTCTGTACACAGCTGGTGAACACCCCCTGGAATTTATATTTTCTTCTTGTGTGATTGTGTCACTGATTTTGCAGTAGTCTGCACTAAGATACAACTCAGATTTTGGAAATCCTCTGCAACGAAAATGTAATTTTTGATGAGATACTTCGAAAGGGAAATCACATTTAAAGGGATGCAGACCTTGCCACTTTCCTCACTTTATCATTATCAATCAGTTGCTGCACTTGCAGGGTTCTAATGAGGAAAGTCACTCCCATTCATATTCACTTTGCACAATGATGCAGACAAACAGCCATTTTTTCAGAAAACAAAAGGTAGGAATCTGCAACAAAGTTTGTTAAATCTTAGATCACATAGATCACCCAGAGGGGAATATTGTTTTTTTCTCAACAAAAGTGTAGTTACTTTTTAAAGCTAAACTTTATTCAGATATAGATAGAAATTAATATATAATGATTAATGCATCATTATCCTGTTCCTGCTGACTGTACGCATAGATAGGGCCTCTTGGCGTGTGGGCTTTTGAGCGGTTGTAAACCACAAAAAATTTAAACAAAAAAAAATCTTCTCCCTGCAAGCTAAGAGCATAATATGCTAGTATGCACTAACCGAAATGCAAAATCACGTATATATTTGTGATTTTGTGCAGCCCTGCTGCCTTGTAGCAGTAGGGAAGTGATTAACCTCCCTGGCGGTATGATTATTTCAGATTTTTGGTGCTGAAAGCGGGTACCATTATTTTGCATGGAAATATGTAGTTTTTTTATTGTAGGCTGTAATTTTTAGGAATAACTCACTGAAATCTGTCCAAACAAGAGTCTATTAAACATCCCGGGTATGATAAAAATGATGAAACACGAAATCCTAAATTATAATTTAATAAATAATCATAAAAAATATTAATATAATAATAATACATTTAATTCAATAATATAATCAAAGCAAAAACACTGAAATTTGAAATATAGCGCCAAGTTCGCACATTGCTGAGCAAAGTCGCAAAATCGTTTTCAGTGTCTGATGACGAATTTCCCCCATGAATCATTATCACTCAATTCTGCAAGTGGTTCTGATTTACTATCGCTGTTCTCTAGCTGATCTAAACCCGCTTTTGACCTAAAGGGACACTTTTTGGACGCCATGGACTTTTCTCAGTTTCCAGGCAGAAAGAACAGTAAAAATGCAGGCAGGGCACAGGACAAAGCACTAGGGACA